TACACAGAACGATACAAAAATTCACAGCTAAGGATCAGGAGAGGACATGTTATATAGACTGCAGACGGGGGGAGAAGCCAAAACGATTCAGTCAGGCAGAACTAAATCTATATATCTCGGATGACAAACATGCTCAGAACCAGAGCGGAAATGTACAGAATAGTAATGTGCTAAATACAGGAGCAATCTCTCAGCCCCCCAGGAATAATGTCAGGGGTTTAATTTGTTTCTACTCAAATGTCGCAAGCATTGTGAATAAATTAGACTCATTATGTGCATGTGCTTAGGCTGAAAACTTGACATCATTGGCATCAGTGAAACATGGGGCAGTGAGAACATAATAGAAGGGGAATTCCATCTCCCAATTTACCACCCACCTTTCAGAAAGAACAAAACAACAAGAGCAGGCGGGGTGATGCTATATGTGAAAGAGGACCTGGATGCAACCAACAATGCACTAACTGAACACCATATGATCTTCAAAGTCTGTATGGTGCAACATACTAACTCAAGATGGTAGCAAAATGACTGCAGGAGTATGCTACAGGGCTGACAGCCTTGTAGCAGCGGCAGAGGAAACTGCGGATTTGCATAATGCGATCAATGCAGCATTTGAAATCCAAACCCTAATAATGGGGGACTTTAACTACGAGGCCATAGATTGGATCACCCTAACATCTCAAGCAGGTGAACAATTTATCGATCTTGTGCAGGACTCCTTCTTCATACAGCATATGGTAGAGCCCAAACATTGTAACAATATACTAGATCTGGTGCTAACAACAGAAGAGGGTATGATTGATCAAATTCCTGTGGGGGGAAAAGCTAACACCCTCATGCGACCACCATATTTTTAGATCGACTACGAATATATAAACCCACATGAAGGTCAAAGATAATGAATTTCTAGATTACCAGCGAGGTGACTATCAAGGAATGAGAGAGGAACTACAAACCATCTCCTGGAGGGAGCTGATGAGTGAATATGACACAGAGGCATCATGGCAATATTTCAAGAGGTGTCATCACGGAACTCGTTCAAAAATATGTGCCGAAAAGAAGAAAGACAAGAAAGGGAACTAGATGGATGAATGACTCAGGTCGTAAATCAAGCATTAGTAACTAAGAGGACGAAACAACGACAAATACGTTCTCTGGAGAACGTATAATAAATCAACGACGGACGTCATTGATTATGAGTTATACAAAAGGGCACTAAACTCGGCCACTCAGGAAATCAGATCAGCCAAAAGAAACTACGAAAGAAAACTTGCCCAAAACATAAAGAAATATCCAAAATCGTTCTATGTCTATATAAGAGGTAAAACCAAAACAAAGAACTCAGTTGGACCCTTAATAGATGAGACTAACTAAGCTATAGTGGATGATAAAATGGCAACAAACACTCTATCTGATTATTTTACATCAGTGTTCACACTGGAAAGGTTGGATGACATCCCATCACCTACACAAATGTTTGAAGGATGGGTGGAAAAAGAATTTATGGATATACCCATAACATGCAAAATAATTATAAAGAACATTAACAAACTAAAAGACTCAAGAGCCCTAGGTGTGGATGGAATCCAATCCAAAGTCTTAAAGGAACTGGCAGAAGGACTATGCCTACTGCTGAAACTATTTTTCACAAAACCTCTGGAACAAGGGATATTCCCCCTAGATTATAAATATGCAAATGTTTCCCCTATTTCCAAAAAGGCAGAAAACTAGCCTGATCAGCTTGACATCACACATCTGCAAGCTCATGGAGAGAATTCTAGGAAGGGACCATTCCCATCTTTTAGTGAACAACCTTGACAATCACACAACATGGATTTGATAAAAACAGATCTTGCCTTACAAACTTGCTCCATTTTTGGAAACGGTAACCAGCTACTCAGACAAAGGCTTTCCGGTGGATGTAGTATACATGGATTTTGCTAAAGCTTTCGATAAGGTACCAAATGAAAGACTGGCAAGGAAATTACAGGCCCATATTATAAATGGTACATTAGAATGGGTAAAACAATGGTTGAAGGTAAGAAAACAAAGGATCGTGCTAAATGGAAACGAATCTGAATGGAGAAATGTGAAAAGTGGGGTGCCACAAGGGATCATTTTGAGACCTAACTTCTTTGTCACATACATCAATGACTTAGATGAGAATATTACCAAACCACATCATCAAATTTGCAGATGACACAAAGATTTGTGGGGAAATAATGATATTGAAGCCTTACAAAGAGATTACATGAACTCCACAAATGGTCAGAAGAGTGGAAAATGGTTTTTAATATCGACAAATGCAAGACTTTACAAGTGTGGTATAACAACCCACATCATGACTACCAAATTAATAGCATTGCATTTCAACAGATTGGTGAAGAAAATGATCTTGGAGTAAAAATCCGCCACTCATTCAAAGTTGCACAACAGGTGGGTGCAGCAGTCAGGAAAGCTAACCAAACTCTTAGAATAATCAAGCATTCTGTTGACTATAAGGAAAAGAGGGTAGTTGTTCAACTGTATAAAACTCTGTTTCGCCCCCATTTGGATTACTGTATCCAAGCATGGAGACCTTATTTTCAGTAGGACATAGGTGCGTTGGAGAAGGTTCAACACCGAGTAACAAAGGTTATTCCAGAGCTAAGCCATTTCCCATATCAGGAATGCATGAAGGTCACAGGACTAACAACACTACAAACCAGGTATGACAGGGCGGATCTCATTGAAACTTTTAAAATATTGAACAGTTAGAGGATGTTGATCCGGATAGTTTATTCAGAAGGTCAGATGTAACACAAACAAGAAGCAACGGTTTCAAGCTCAACAAGCCACAATGTAGGACTGAGAACAGGGGATGCTTTTTCACCTACAGGGTTATAAACCCATGGAACCGCCTACCCGCCGAAGCCGTAAGTGCCAAAACTGTGCTGATTTTTTAAATATAACTAGAAAAGATCATCAAGGCAAATGGGAGGGACCTTCGACATGCCACCGGATTCCTATCCTCTTCGAGGCCACTAGGGTTAGTGGCCCTCAAGTAAAGGTAAATCAGATAATGCCCCTTATTTTTTTCCGAGGAAACGGAGGATTTTTTTTTTAAAGAATGGTATTAAACATGTAACACCTGCCCCTATTCTTCAAATGGTCCATTTTTACATATCTTGCCCGAAACGCTGTCCGTATTATTGGCTTTAGGCGCAGTATATACTAGTTCTATCTTGAAATCCAACTTTCTGCTTGTAACTCGTTTTGTATGTATGTACTTTTCCCTAAATATAATTTGTATTGTCATTGTCATCAATTATACTTCTATTCACATTTGTTAATTATTAGATTTTTTTCATTAATAAAAAAATTGTCTTATTCATACTAGGAAAACTCGTATGAATAAGACAATTTTTAAAACTGTCAAATCAAGGAAGGGATTCCGATCAAATTAGGCTTTCATACAAGAAGGGGAGTTGGAAATGAATCACTGTCTAAGACAAATTGAGTTAATTGGTGACCAGACAAATATTGCAAATCAAATGCAATATTATTCATTGATACCGGGAACCCTTCTGTGACAAGAATGATACATAAGCTTTGGAAGGGTTTCACTTATCTTAGGCTGTGGATGCTGCTTTTCCCAGTTAGTTGGAATCTATGGTTGGTGGGGGGTTTCTGGGTTTAAACTGCTAGACAACAGAGGCATGGGAATGTTTCTGGGAAAGGTAGGCAATAAGGGGTGAGTGCTGGTGAGGAAAACTTGGGTAAAACGAACGGGCAGACATGAGCGTCAACATAACAACACAACAAAAGTATCAAGCGTATCAGGAACGAAACATATACAGTAATTTAAGTTCACTCGAGTGGACATAATATTAGATAATATTGTGCTAACAGAAATGTTGATGAATGTAGAAAACAGAGAACCATTAACTGAACATCAAATTAAGGGATACAAATTATTTCACATACACTTTGATGAATATAAAATATAGGAGAGGTCTTAAAATGCTGCCTTGTGGCACTCCTATGGTTAATGAGAGAGAGGCAGAGGATATGTCATTGATGACCACATATTGGTGGTTGTTGTTGAGATATGAGTGGATATAGTTCACAGTAAGGACTCGAATTCCATAATGATGAAGGTAAAGCAGGAGTGAGGTTGTTTTTTTCATCATCCCTATTGGTCTTTTCATTTACCTTTCTCAAGTTCATGAAAAGACCAATAGAGAACTCATTTTTGGAATCGTATTTTTTTACCTGAATTTACTTGAAGGGTTATCTTGAGATGATTTCGGGGCTTTTTAGTGTCTCCGCGGCCCGGTCCTCGACCAGGTCTCCACCCCCAGGATGCAGCCCGTGACAGCTGACTAACACCCAGGTACCTATTTTACTGCTAGGTAACAGGAGCATTGGGTGAAAGAAACTCTGCCCATTGTTTCTCTCCGGCGCCCGGGATCGAACCCGGGACCACAGGATCACAAGTCCAGCATGCTGTCCGCTCGGCTCCCTACTAATACTAACACTAGAGGCCTCGACGAAGACAGGAAGCTTGTTGCAGCTTGACAGGAGGCTTATCGGAGGTCCCCCCATTTACCTTGATCTTTTCCAGTTGGATTTTAAAATTTAACAGAGTTTTGACATTTACGGCTTCGGCGGGAATGCAGTGCTATGGGTTTATAACCCTGTACTCATCTAGTTGTACTCACCTAGTTGTGCTTGCGAGGGTTGAGCTTTGTCACTTTGGTCCCTCCTCTCAACCGTCAATCAACTGGTGTACAGATTCCTGAGCCTACTGGGTTCTATCATACCTATATTTGAAACTGTGTAAGGAGTCAGCGTTCACCACATCACTTCCTAGTGCATTCCATTTATTAACTACTCTGACACTGAACAAATTCTTTCTAACGTCTCTGTGGGTGAAAAAGCATGTCCTGTTCTCAGAATGAGACAGTAGCACCACTATTACACAATATAATAAGATGAAGAAGAGAAGGAACACTTACAGAGACGCTCAAGGTGAGGCAGTCTGGAAGGGACAGCAGCGTGAAGGTGAGGCAGGAGGCAGCGAGCATGGGCGTCACTCACCACAGCCAGGCGGAGCCACTTCAAGCTGGGGGGCAACGCTTCCAACCCTTCACTACTCAGATGACCCCAGAACACCTCCAGGTCACTCCTGTACTGGAATAAAGCCCTTATGAGCTCCTGACTCTTCATAACTCTGCACACTCACCAACAGTGACTGTAACTCTCTATCATACATGAAGAGAAGGTGACCAGCCTGCAGTGGTTTAACAGCACCTGGTGGTCTAGGGATTAGCATCAATACACTGTCTCCTCGCACATACAGACTCTGCTCCTTCCTTTTGTTACTCATGACTATGCCAATGTCTCGTACAGTTGCCTTACTTGTGCAACGTGTGTGCACGATGGTATGCAAATTAATATGGGATCTTTAGAGTTCACATCGTCAGAGAGCACAATCCTAGATTCTTTAATTATGGACTTAGGTGTGCAATATCGAGTCTCTCCTGATAGCCCTAATGTTCAGCAGACCAATGGCATTGCAGAGATAATTTTGTACCGAGTCCCAGATGAATTATTATGAATTTCACAGCACATGTCTATTGGAGCCATCTATAGATTTCCCAATACTAACATAGCTTCTTTCTCAGACAACCTAAGAAATCTTATTATAAACAACAATCTCAACAAAAACCACATCATTCTGGGAGGAGACTTTAATATTGACCTGGGTCAACAAAATTGCTCTCAAGTTGACTATTTCCTTAACGGCATGAACTCCTGTATGCTAATCCCCACAATCACCAAACCTACCCGAGTCACTCAAACATCAGCCACTACCTTGGACCACATATGGACAAACATAACAGCTTCCCTTGTATCTGGTATAATCTACGTCAGAACAACTGACCACTATCCTACCTTTCTCATAGCGAACATGGACATAACACCACCAAAAAGCAAGAAACTTTCATTTAGGCTACACAGTGAATCAGCTTTAGACAATCTTACAGATGCACTTCACAATATTAACTGGGATTCTGAATTCAATAATACCCATGATATAAATTCATTAGCTAACCTCTTCCTCTCCAAAACTCTAAGCCTCTACAACCTTCATTGTCCCCTTCTTACCAAGCAAGTAACTGACAAAAGATTAAACAATCCATGGCTCACAAGTGGCATTCTCAACTCAATCAACAAGAAACATGAATATGAAAAGAAACTTAGGATTGGCCTAGTTTCAAAGGAAGTAGCCAAAAGGTACTCATCAATGCTTACCAGTATCATAAGAAAGGCAAAACTTGCATATTATGTGAATAGATTCAATGAAGCAAAAGGCAACATGAAAAGCACTTGGAAAACAATCTCTAGTATCCTAGGAACTAAACAACACTCACATAACCAAATAAAACTCTACAAGGATGGGGATATACTATCAACTGATTTAGAAATGGCAAATGAATTTAATAGTTTCTTTTCATCGTTTGGTGCTAATCTTGCCATTAAAATCCCACAGACTCAGGCACATATTAACACATATCTCTCAGGCAGCTATCCAAACTCTCTTCTCCTTTCACCAATCAGCCCGGCAGATGTTGTGTTCATCATACACTCTCTAAAAACCAAGGCAGGGAACACCAGTGAAATTCCGTCCATTGTGTACAAGAGAGCCTCCCATGCCCTTGCCCCACCCATAGCACTACTGTTCAACAAATCTATAGAGTGTCACACCTTCCCTGATATCCTCAAAAAAGCAAGAGTAACTCCAGTCCATAAAGGAGGCAATCCGGCGGACATAAACAATTATAGACCAATATCAAATCTACCCATTCTATCAAAAATATTTGAAAAAATTATTTACAAACAGCTCTATTCCTACCTCGTAAAATTCGACATACTCAGCCCCTGCCAGTTTGGCTTCCGGTCCCAAAAGAGCACCAACGATGCAATCATTAGTCTCCTTGACGTTATCTACTCAGCCCTTGACAAAAATGAGTTTCCGATTGGACTCTTCATTGACCTAAGAAAAGCCTTTGATACTGTTAATCACAACTACCTCTTACTTAAACTCCAGCATTATGGAATCCGAGGCCTTGCCCTTGACTACATCCGATCCTATCTTAGTGACAGACACCAATATGTAACCATCAATGATACAACTTCTTCCACTCTACCAATTACCGTTGGAGTGCCACAGGGCAGCATCTTAGGACCTCTTCTATTTCTTATATATATAAACGATCTGCCTAATGTCTCTAATATTCTCAAACCTATATTGTTTGCTGACGATACTACCCTTATCTATTCAGACCTCAACCCACATACACTAAATAATGTTGTGAATAATGAATTAAAAAAAGTCCACTTATGGATGTCAACGAACAAACTAACATTAAACATCGAAAAGACTTACTACATCTTATTTGGAAGCAAATCATCAAATGCAATTCAGCTACAGATAGACAACATTAACATCAGTAATAAAAATGATGGCAAGTTTCTTGGCCTATTCCTAGACAAGAGACTCAACTTCAGCACCCAAATTCAACACATAACTAAGAAAGTCTCTAAGACAGTTGGTATACTCTCCAAAATCAGATATTATGTTCCTAACTCTGCTCTCCTCTCACTATATTATGCACTAATCTACCCCTATCTTAATTATGGTATCTGTGCATGGGGGTCTACCACTGCAAACCACCTTAAGCCTATCATCACACAGCAAAAATCTGCTATCAGAATAATAACTAACTCTGCTTTCAGACAACACTCAGCTCCCTTGTTTAAATCCCTAAACTTGTTAAATATTAACTCCCTCCACACATTCTCTTGTGTCAACTACATTTACAAAACCCTGTTCTTAAATGCAAACCATGCTCTGAAACTCTCCCTGGACAGATGCAATAGGACCCATTATCACCACACCAGAAATAAATATCTCTTTGATATCCCCAGGGTCAAACTTAATCTGTGTAAACACTCTATGCAAATTAAGGGACCTAGTCTATGGAACTCACTCCCTAGTGAATTGAAAAACTGTAAAACTTTTGCCTTATTTAAAAGCAAAACCAAAAAGTACCTAATTTCATCTTAGTTTCCTACACTGAGCTTTAAATTTGCTCTGTACCTAGTGTTACCCAATCTCCTAATTTTTATGTAGTATCAAACAACCTTATCATTGTGTTCATTGCTGTTTTCTTTTATGTGCTACCCATATGCTGTATTGTGACTACCAATTTTTGTCAACTACCATTCAAGCTGTCATTGCAATCAATCTTATATTGTTTCTGCTGTATTGTGCCTACCAATTTTTGTCAACTACCATTCAAGCTGTCATTGCAATCAATAAACCTATGTGCTTTAATATACTGTACCTACAATTTTCTCTCATCTTTTTTCATTCCATGTAACTATTATCATTTTTTTGTCTATAAATTTTGCAAGTATTTACCTCCTTAAAATTTTCTTAGATTAAGGTCCTGCCCGAAACGCTGCGCGTGCTAGTGGCTTTACAAGACTGTAATTACCATATTATGTATCCTCACATTCCCAATGTACATTCTTGTATATGCATTAATAAATAAATAAATAAGTAAATAAATAAATTGCCCTTGTCTTCGTTAAATGCTTAGCGTCTTAAGACAACGCCGTCTTGGCTGGAGTGAGAGGAAACTCTCGAGCTTGCAGTAACTAAGAGGGGGACACCGTCTCGAGAACAAATGGCTGCAGGCTGTAAAAATATGACATTTGTACGACGTCATATACCTAGCTTACATGTGTTTGCTTACATCACTGGGCCAAACACCACTGCCTGTTTCCCATTGGTCCATCTGTAAGTTCCACAATTGTATTGCCGAGAAATGCTGGAGGTGCTCACCCAGAGCCTGTCCGAGCATTCCGCTACCAGAGTTTGTCTGAACCAGATGTGTGTGTTTCTCATTAGTATAGCCAGTCAGTAGTGATCCCCTAGCAACATTCCCCCAAGAATGTTAAACTTACTGCGGTAAATTCATACCAGAATCGCGGTCATATAGTATTGTGAATTATTCAGTATCGTATCGTGATTGATAACACTAGTAGAGAGTGAAAACCACGTGACTTTCTTCATAAGTAAAAGACTAATTTTCCACAGAAATCGTGAATTATGTAGGCCATTAGAGTAACTTATCCATGGAAAAAGTTACTACTCGATTATATATCATGTAAGATTGTCGCCGACTGATTCTCAGTATAAAAATCCTCTAGACTGTTGTAGAGTGGAAACTTAGACTTGCGAGCACCACTCTGTGTATATCGAGTAAGCTGCCTTTCACTCGTGTGTGTGTCCAAGGAAGTCGCTGCCTTTCAGCTGCCCCGTGCTTCGGGCCTGCCACGTGCCTTGTTATTTCCCATGTGGCATCGTCCTGCCACCTGTTCTCTCACACACTAACCACATAGTCCAATGCGTTTGCCACCTGTTCCCAGCACAGGTATTTCTTACATAAGATACAATGTGAAGTCAATGTAAGAGGTCCAGCACTGTGTTTGAGTTTTGGCATGTACAACTACATGCAGTAGTGCTTGAGAAAGAGACCGTGCCATCTAAAGTGCCAGGCCCTATCCATGCTTTGGTCATGTTATACCAGCTACCCAGGCTACATCGTCAGAGCAGTCACAGTTGTATGATTAGTATCAGAGCAGACAAGGCCAGTCTATTGTAAGCACAATCTCTTCATTAGTTATTACGAGTTTTCCTCGTGATCATCAGTCAGTCAATCATTATTAACTCTCCATACCTACAACAGGTGTGAGGTAGTAGTAGGCATCCATCAGTCTCAGGAGACTATAGACTTGCGCACTGGCGTCGGCCTGGTCTGGAGTGGCCTCCAAGGGCGCAAAGCCAGGGTAGGTTGATTCGGGGGAGAAGCTGTTACCTAGGTAGCGGGTCCCCCGATCATGTAAATATGTAATTACCAAAAGAAGGTACCAAGCCGGGGAAACTGTTAGCACCGTCAAATGTGCGGGATATTCAAAAGGTGCTACATATCACTAAGGATGCCAATACGAGAACAAAAGCACATAAAATGATCGATATCAAAAGTATCTGATTCACCAAGGTTTCTATCGAGGGGCAAGTGACTGCGAGGGACAGTTGGGCAACAAGACACA